AGCTCCCAAGGGCAGGGCAAGAACCAGTGGAGGTAAACTTTACAGAGAAAGATCCAAGCTCAAATTAAGGAGGAAAATAAGGAGGAATTTCCTGACTTAAAAGTGGGAACTTTTAAGCAGTAGAATAGCTTGCTTCCTCCTATGTGGGTTCCATAATTGGAGGTTTTCAAGCAAAATTTGGACACTCGTTTGTCTGGGACAGTGTAGAGCTTCTTGCCCTGGAGAAAAGATAAGATTTCTAAGATCTTTGAGAAAACTGATACAGCTCAAAATATCTTTTTCTTGCTTTGATCAGAATATTTCATAAAAGAGCAAATGAACTCAAACATCTGCAACTATTATTGAATTTTATTGTTCTAATAAAAATATTATTGCAATGGATATATTTTTATTACTGTCTTATGGCCAAGAGAGGAACGACTATGTTTTAGTCTATTTTAAAATTCACCAGCAAGGAAAAATAAGATAGGAAAGAGGGATTTTATGTTGAAAAGAAGGCATAATAGTGTAATAGCTATAGAGTTGAAGATGGAGAAATGAGGAACGATATGGTTGTATAGAAGTACAGAGAGCAGGCTATTTAAGAGAGTGGTAAAAAAAAATAGAGATGAAATAATGATAACACTGAATGATATGAAATCTGGACTTAGAACTAATCAAATGATGATAAAGCAATTTAATAAATCACAACAGGAAAAAAGCACAAGAGACATTCTTAAACTACCATATTTTTCAGACTATAAGACGCTTCAGACTATAAGACCCACCTAGCTTTTGGGGAGGAAAAAAAGAAAAAAAATCTGCCTCTGCCTCCCAGCAATTTGCATCCTTGCAGCAAACAGCTGGTCAGCTTCAGCACAGCCTGACTTAGCACGAGCAGCTGATTGGCAGTTGGATCTGCCTCCTGGAATACCGCCGATCAGCTGTTCCAGGCGCCGGGGATCACCACAGCCCATCGTCACCATCCATCACCACTGCCGCCTATCGCCACCTCTACGTGCCTCATTTTCGGCCTCTGCACGTCCTATTTTGGGCCCCCGCTTACCCCATTTTTGGTCTCTGCGTGCCCTGCCCCTGGAATGGGTCCAAAATGGGACATGTGGAGACCGAAAATGGGCTGAGTGAAGGTCCAAAATAGGATGTGCAGAGGTAGCAATAGGCAGCAGCGGGTGGCAGCGATCCCTGCAGCCTGGAACAGTTGACAGGCGGTATTCCAGGAGGCAGATCCATCCACCAATCAGCTGCTCGTGTTAAATCAGGCTGGGCTGAAGTTGACCAAACTGTTGGCTGTTTGCCGTTTGCTGCAAGGAGGCAAATTGCTGGGAGGCAGAGGCCAAAGGGTGGGGGCCAGCAGGTGGGTGGGGCTTCAGCAACATTCGCTGTATAAGACGTGCAGACATTTCTACCCACTTTGGGGGGGGGGAGTGCGTCTTATACACCGAAAAATACAGTATTATATGTTACATGTGTGGTGGATCAGATACAGTTTAAATATAAATGTAATTTATAAATTAGGCAGATTACTAATCACCTTAGATATTTGCTGATTTGAGATTGCCCTTTGAAATAGTTCTGTTTCCAACAGTTCCTGAAGCTTATGAAAAGTGAATCTGATTTCCATATGGAAGCCATTCCTCAGCACTGGTGTTGTTACAGAAAAGCAGTACCTTTTAGCTTTGGGTCCTCAGCCCACCCCACCTCCAAATCATTAACTATAAGTAAATGTGCCCTGCAAGATCTAGCGGCGCAAGCAGCTCTGCAAATATGCTAAGCCATAAAGATAAATCCCAGCACCTTAAAATGTACCCAGAAATACATTAGCAACTAGGGCAGGATTCAGAAAATCAGTATTCTGGGCTCCCATTGCTGTAAAGCAGGGGTGTCAAACTCAAGACCCGGGGGCCAGAAACAGCAATGGACTGGCCCGCAGTGCCACCAAAAACAGAGCTTGGGATTGCTGCGTGCGGTCTCCCAAGCTCTGTTTTCGCTGGCAGAGGGTTGCAGAAGGCCATTGCAACTGAAAACGGAGCTCGCAAGGGCTGCAGGCAGCACTTCCAAGCTCCGTTTTTGCTGCAGAGGGCTGCAAGGGGCTGTTGCAGCCAAAAATGGAGCTCGTGATGGCCGCAAGTGGCACTCCCTACTCCGTTTTCACTGGCAAAGGTTACAGGAGGCCATCGCAGCCACAACAGAGCTCAGGAGTCCATTTTCACTGGCAGAGCGCTTGGGCCACCACAGCCCCCCCCCCGACATGAGTGATGTCGAACTGGCCACACCCACCCTGGCCATGCCCCCCATCCCCCAAAGTCAAACACAACCCTGATGCAGCCCTCAATGAAATCAAGTTTGACACCCCTGCTGTAAAATATACTGATTGCTTCTGAACAGATGCAGTTTCCAAGTAATCTTTATGGGCAGCCCAAATAAAGTACACTATAATAGTCCAATCAGGTGAAAATTGGTTACTGTAACCTGGTTCTCCTGCATCAAGTTAGGCCATAATTGGCGCAGCAGCTGAAACTCAGGGACTATGAGTCCAGGAAGACTCTCAAATCACAAACCTGATCCTTCATGGGTAGTGTCTGCTCGTGCAGAGATCACATTGACATCTATAGAAATCCCAATGTAATAATAGCAACTCTGCCTTATGTGGGTTCACCATAATCTGTTCTCTCTCATCCAGACCTTCATAATTTGCAGGGACCTGCACATGCCCATGGGCCGCCAGTTTGACACCCCTGACCTAGAGTGCTGCAAAGTTGGTCCATTACCCATCTCAACAGTCTTCCTTAAAAAGGGGAGGCTGGAGACTGGATATTGAGTATGCACAGTTTTATAGATAGTGATTACTTAAAAAGATTTGCTGGCAATTTCTGTATACTTCAGAAAGCCAGAATGATAACAGGCAGAGGAAAAAATTGTTAAAAAGTATTATGCAAACATACATACATTTTTTTTTAAAAAAATGCCCTCAAATAGACCTTGATTACTTATGAACAGAAGAGCCTTGCCCCTGCCTCCTTCTGGCATTCTGACTTCCCAGTCTTGGCATTCCTAGGCAATCAATCCCCTACTGAAGTACTAACCAGGGCTGCTTTGCTGAACTTCTGAGTTCAATCTAAGTTAGCTAGACACTGCCACCTATTGAGGCAGAACAGATATACCCCTTTATAAAAGCATTCATCTGAAGAAGCAAATATGTTTAGACATAACTTTGCACATATTATATCTATCAAATCCTAATCAATTTCTTTTTCTTCTCCTTGAAGATGTATGTTAAACTTTTCAACCTAGCAAAGTTATTGCTCACATTTAAAATTAAGAAACACTTTCAGAAAAAGCATAGTAACTGATTACAGACACTACAGGGAGCAATAAATGCATAATTTAGCACAACTCTCTTTGCACTAACTATATTATTAAATTGCATCCAAAATAAATACTGCAGCACATTTGCCTGCAGTAAAAACTGAATGTATAGAGAAAAAGGCAGAAGATTGCATCACACACAGAAACACAATAAACTGCAATTTTGTATCATTAATATTTTTGTGTTAATTGCAGTTAATTGCAGTTTTATTACAGTGTCCTGTTGATACACATTTCACAGAAAACCATAGCCTAAAGACAAAGCACATGCATTGTATACCAGAGATCTAAGATTTACTCCCAGCATTTAGAATTTACTCCCAAACAAGAAAAAGCCTAATTCTACCTAAAACCCTGAGACTCTTCTGCCAGTTAGTGTCAATTCTATTATATTGAGCTTAAAAGATCAACAGTCAGACTCAGCATAAGGCAAATGGGGATGGGAACAGAGTACATGTTTTCCAGTAGGTCACAAATCAGACCAGGTAAGTGGAGGTAGAAACGGGAAGCACTGGGAAGACTCAGGATGCTGGGTAGACCTTCTGTATAGACCTGACTGGTCCTTGGTTTCAAGCATAGCATATCCAATGAGTCTATCCATTTTAGTTTTACCAGGCTTTCCTTTCCCTACATTTCCCCCTCCCATCTCTGTATCAGCTGCAGCATGCAGGATATTGAAAGGAAGCCACAAGGAATATTGGCCAGCGTGTTAGAGACCAGGCTATGCAAAGAAGGGGAAAGAGAGTCAGGTCTTTCCAGATTTTGTTTCAGCCAAAATCCAGAACCGAAATGTTTCAGCTTTTAGCTCTGTCAAACCACAGCCCAACTTGAATATTTTGGTAGGCCTTCTAAGACACAATGTTTCAAGTTTGAAGTAATGCACATTTTGTGCGTACCCCTATGCAAATCTATTCAAATATTTTAATTCGGAAAGTCTAGTAGTGAGACGTATATGTTCTAGCAATGTTATGGGATGTGCACGCAATATTAGCAGATTCCTTATTTTGCATTAGGCATTTTAACAGACTCAAAAACTAAACTAAACAGACTTTTAAAAAAACCTCAAAAGAGGCTGGCTGGGAACACTAAGTTTTACTGGCCATTCTAAATTCAAGTAAGTTTGGAGTTGGAAAGATCTTCAGGGGGGCAGGAACTGAAAACATTTGTCTTCAAGGTCCCTGAAAGTAACATTCCCTCCATGAAAGCAGCTGAAGAAAGCCTCTTCTACCTGATCTTATGGGATGAACAGAAACAAATGTGGTCCTGAAGGTATCAAAGTTCAGAGCCGTGAAGATGACAACCACCATTTTGAATGGCAGGTAGAAGGAAATTGGTAACCAATGCAACTCTCAGGGTAAAGGTTATTATATGAGGGAGGGGGGGAATCTGATTCACCCATAGCTCTCTAAATTGCTACATTCAGTAGCCTTCAAGAACAGCCCATGTGCAGCATATTGCATTAGCCAAAGTAGGAGGTAACCAAAGCAAGCCCTCTCAAATACATATGGAAACTTTTCTTTTGTTCCAGCTTGGACTCTTGAAAGTTATATAGCCACTCTCATAGAAGATTACAGTTCTTGTTTATCTGTGACAGGTGATGTACTTATTGTTAGAGAAATATATACAAAACTTACACTGGTCACTCGACGGTAGATCTGTGCAGCATTTTGACATTCAGAATAAGGATATTCAGATGTAGCCATCTCAAGCATACACATCCCAAAAGCATACACATCAACGGACTCATCGTATTTCTCCTCATACATCTCGGGTGCCATGAACTCTGGGGTACCTTAAATTAAAAGAACGATTCAGACTCTAAATGTCTCAAAGCGAGCAGAGGCTGCTGCCGTTACTCACCGCAGAACGGAGCAGATGGGGAGACCTGTGAGAAAAGAAGAAGTGGAGGCAAAAAGAAAAGGGAGGATACCCTCAGTCATTCTTTTTCGTCAATGAATCCCATAGGTCTTCCATTGCAAGGTCTTTGCAAGAAGTGAAGAATGGTAAATAGTTATTTTACCATTTATGTCAACATTACAATTCAAATTGAATTAGGAATAAAATAAGAAGTTTTAGTAGTAATTAACAAACTTGACTGTTGAATCCTAGATTGAAAATAAATGGAGAAAAATAAAAGTAAGAGACTAGTTAGGCTGAAAACCAAATATTTGTTAGCCACACTTACCTTCCCTCCCATTGAGAAAGGAGGTGCAATGTTTGTTTCAGCATACCTGCCTGCTCTCTGCTGTAAAGAATTAATATTGATTAGCGTCCACAGCTAGTCTCTGACCTGTAATGCTCCATTTATTTATTTTTAATAGTGTCACTTTTAAACAAAGCCTTGCAATGAAAAACCTGTCTACGAATAAAGCCTTCTTAAAAATGGATTTTTAAAATTTTCTGCAAAGGCCACTCACCAGAGCCCTTTTCACATACTTACCATTTCACCTGCAGTACATTTAATAGGTCTACTACAGATACAGGAAATAGTGAGGGAAATCCTATAGGCAAAAATACTCAGAAATATAAAGAGATTGAGTTATAGACACAGAGTGTGTGATTAACATCTTGAATCAAAAAACAATTTGCAGCAGATGCTTTATCTCTAAGATATGAAATGAATGCAGTTTCTCATATGGTAGAAAACTATACTATGTATTCAGAGATATTTAAAGCCAGAAATATTTACAATAAGAAAAGAATTATTTCCTGCACGCAAACCAGGTTTTATGCAAGTTTATGGACAACCTTTTAAATCCCTATCCACCCTCCCATGGTTCAATAATTAGTATCTAAGTCTTAATTGAAAGTCAGCACACTAACACAACTGTTAACAAAAACTGAGAATATGGTAATTTTCCAATTGAAAGTTGAACACAACACATGGAAAGGGCAATGTTGTGTTCAGGAAACTGGTCATTTCCACATATTTTTTTTACCATTAATGTTTAATGTTTTTAGACTGGCTGGAAAGCAGGAAATGTTTCATTGTGACAAGGACAAGATATCTGCAGATAAAAACTGTACCCTTAAAATCAGTTTTAAGGGATCTAAAACAAGAACTGCATTCTTAAAAACACACAAGTGCAGACTAAAAAGGACAATCTTCTCCCTTGTTAGCCTGCTTCCTTCACACAGAAAATAGCAGAACAGAGCCGTTAAAACCAGTTCTATGGCAATAAAATATCTGGCAAATCCAAAGTGAATGCAAAACCCAGAAACTGAAGGTTAGATGGTAAGATTGCTTTTTTTTTAATGGATGTTTTGTGTCACCCTTTTGTGTGTCCCATTAGTTCCCGTTTGCAACAGATATTTAAGTAGAGTGCATATATTATGGTTTTAGCAAGAGTGTTCTGCTAATTGTAACAATCTATGGTATCAGCACTCTTCCAGCAATATACCCAAATACCAAAGATGCATAATGTACAAGGTCTATTATATCAAAGACTTTACGGCTGAAATATGGAAAAAGCTCAGAAGCAAGCTTATTTTGTTTTATTAAGAGTTTCAAATGAGACCTTTTAAAATAGAACTGGAACTTACCTATCACACTTTTGGCAAAAGAAGCTCGTTTTAAAGTTGCCAAGCCCAGATCTCCTATCTTGACTGATCCTGTGGGGCCAGTGATAAAGATGTTGTCACACTTCAAATCACGATGGATAATGGGAGGAGTGCGTGTGTGCAAGAACTGTAAACCTTTGAGTATTTGCTGGCACCAGCTTCGCAGCACTTTGATTTTCATCACTTTAAATCTTTTTAAATATCTAGGAGAGAACAACCCAAATAAAATTAAGCTTCATCTTGAAACTCATGCTTACACAGTAACATTATAAATATTTAAGAAATAGGATATTAAAAAGCAGTCTCTCATGTTCAATGAACCGACCATTAGGGGACACTGGCCAAAGATGAGAAATACTCAAATACTTTTCTTTTTGAAAGTTAAAAAAAGGTGCTAAGTAGTTCAAAACAACAGGGATTAGAAAGATTACCTCTCCCACATTTAATTACATTGGACCTTCGAGAGAAAATATTTTAAATTGCTATATACTATTTGGGGCCATTGTGTACATTATATATAAATAAAACTAAAAGATTTGTGTGCTTTTTTTAAAAAAAAGCCATTAGAGTTTTTCAATCACAAAGTATGCTACATAGTAACACAGCATCTCATTTAACTATGTTTTTTCTTCATTTTTAGCAATTAAATTTGGAGCAAAAAAAAAATACTTATAGTTATCATATTGTCTTTGCACACTCTGTTTACAAGAAATCAATAGAGATGCTGGCTTAGTGGAAGAAAAAATTCAACAGAGTCAATTCATCAGTTCTAGCAGGGTAACTGTGGGGCTCAAGCTTTTACAAAACCAGAACTGGCAATTGTTTTGAAGTATGGAAGCAAAATTGCCAACAATTTAGTACTACTTTTTATGTTGGATCTTGCAGAATGTAGGATTTGCTGAATTGTATATCAGTGGAGGAAAAATCTACGGAATTCAATTTGATAATACTACTGAGAACACCTAGGAATAATAGAAAAGGATAAAAGGAATAAAAGCAGCACTATTATATATGTCAGTACTGATTACCCAATCAGGGGAAAGATGAAATTGTCCAAAAACAAACTCCTGATCTTTCAGAGGCTTGAAGTAATAATAATAAAAAAACTGGAATCTGTCGAAGATGAATTCTGCCAAGCATGAGCCTTTCAGCAAATTCCTGACTTGCCTTGCTGACTGTTTTCTTTTATGATATTACCTAGTTTGGGTAATGAAATGACTGCAAGAAAACAAGCAAGCTCAGAGAGCACCAAGGACCCCTCATTTCAACCCTGAGCTACAATTATTCTCCTTTAGTATTTTCTTTCAAAGATGAAGAATAATACCATAAGATCACCAATCGTTGAGTTGATGTTATTCAATAACTAGTATTACTATAACTGTATGTGGTACTATAACTGTGCTACAAAAATCCCAATGAAGTCAAGGTGACAGAACCCTCCCCCCCCCCCAAATAAAATTTAGAAGTCATCCAGAATTTTCCAGGACAGATACACTAGCTCCACAACAAGGAATTGGAAGTAGCAGGAAAAACAGGGGAAAGTAACCACATAATGATGGATTTCCTCTCACAATAAGCCAAAAATTAGTGAATAATGGTAAAGAGAACAAAGAGAGCTTCCTCAAACATGTTCAGAATAAAAGAAAGAAAAACGAATCAGTAGCTGCTCAGTAAATGCAGCAAAGGATAACAATTATTTAATTCCCGATTCAGCTCAATATTCACTAAAAGGAAGATACACATTTTACACACACACTCCTGAAAAGACAGAAATGAGATTAAAACTCAAAATAAACATGGTCAAGGAATTCTGAATGAGTTTAAGACACCAGAACTAGATGAATTGCACAGGAAGATGTGGGTTCTATGTACAATTCAAGGTCTGGTTATCACCTATAAAGCTGCAAAGGGCCTGGCTTCTTGTCATCAATTATTCCTTCCTGTCTGGTGGAGTTGCACCCTGGTTCCTGTCAATTAAACAAGACCCAGAAAATGTGCTCCTGTCCTCAGGAATTATATCACTACAAAAATTCATAGAGCTCCCATCCTAATGACATTCAGAAAATCATTAAAAACGTGGTTTTCTCACAGGCCTTGGGATAAGATGCCTCTCCTTTTATTTTTTGTTGTTAGTGTGTCGCCTGTTGAATGGTTGTAAATTTCTTCTGTACTAGTTGCTTTTCTTTTTTAATTGTAAAACACTTGGAGTCATTAAGGAATCTGGTAGCCTTAAACTTAAAATAATTACATACATGCATATATACAAAGAAACAAACAAAACAGCATTTGTTAAACATTCAGGAGTCTTCAATGGATAGTAGATGGTGAAAACATTGAGCACATAAAGGCTTTTAAATAGTTGTGATCTTCCAAGACACAGAGTCACAAAATACACATAATGATTCTGTGGTCTTGTAGGTTCAAAGAAACACTTCAGCCATTTTAAAGAGTGTTTTTCCTCCGCACTAAAAGCAGTAAATGTATCTGTGGCTTTAAAACCACTTATAAAGCCCCACATGGCATGGGGCCGGGCTCTTTGCAGGATCAGCAGTCCCCACTGTCTCTGCCCAACCCATCAGGTCTAGCAGAGAGGAAGTGCTTTATGTCCCATCACCAAAAAATGTAATGTTGTTGGTCCCTGGAGTCAAGCCTATTCCTTGGCTTTGCCAGGCATGTAAAAAAAAACATTCCTCCAGAGATCCTGATGACCCAAACCTTGTTAAGACTTTCATAAGGTTCTGAAGATCTGGCTGTTCCCTGGGTATTGATTAAGGCGAGATATAATTATTCATACTTAAATAAAACAAACTAGGAATTATATTCAGTGTACGTACTCAAGATTTCTTAACTGTTTTTATGATGAAAAATTAAAATAAAACCAGTTTTGCTTTGTAAAGTAATATATTTTCTAAAGTATGCTCCTTTTTTAATTTTTCAGGCATGTTGCAACTCACTTGTTTTGCCTTTTAATTAAAAGAATCTAGCTAAAATTTAAAAAGGGAGGAGAATGATAGAAAGCCAGGCAAGTAGCAATAAAAGAACCTGTAGATTCACCACATTGTCCATCCCTGATCTCTGATCCATCCTTAAACACAGATGGTAATTACTAGCTAAGAATATTTTCTAATGTGTTCGATTGAAATACCAGCTGTAACCCTTCTAAAATTTCTAATGTTTAAGATCTTACTAGGAGACAGATACTACATGGTTTACAACAAAAATGATTGCTGTATACTGATTTCCTGGAGGAAGAATATAAATATAACATTATTTTTTTTAAAAAACATTAAAACTATTCTTAACTTGAGTATTCAGAGTATTCTCAGTACTCTTATAAATTCTCATTAATTCTTTTCCAATATTTACCATGTTTCCCCCAAAATAAGACTCTGTCTTATATTTTTTTGAACCCTGAAATAAGCGCTTGGCCTTATTGCCATGCGCTCAAAAACCCAATTGGGATTATCAGACGATGTCTTATTCTGGGGGAAACAGGGTAGCAGAGATGTAACCAATCATAGTCTAAATGTGGGGCCTATCTGGGGAGCTCAGAGAATGTAAATATCAAAGAGGTAAAATGAATGATGCACGATTTAGCATTTTTCAATGTTCAACACTTAACTCCCTTGTACCTCCCCAAAACTAGCCAAAACATTCAGCCCTGCCCATCATGTAATATCACAAATTATATGATCTTGTAGTCCTTCAAGCAATTTATTTTTTTAAAAAAATGTACTGTCTTCAGGCACATCTACTCTTGAATTATCTGTATTCGGAGCCCCAAAGTATGCATACACCTCAAAAATGTGTCTCCAATTAAGAAATTCTAGCTTCAAATAGTTAAACTGAACTACTTAGAATTAGAATGCTCTGATTATACTGTATAAGTATATTTTAACACTATATGCTATTGAAATACTATGAATATTTGCCAATGCTTTACTGACCACTAGAGGACTCCCTTGCTACTTGTTTTGCCTGGAATTCTGGGCATTTGCTATAGTATGGACATGATGTGGCTTGCCAAATGAAATTCTAAAAAACTCCACTCATTTCCGCTCACAAAACAGCAATAGTCCCAGAATGTTCATAATTTTGAAGCCAAACTGAAACATGTTGACCTCCTCCTCATAAACAGTGGAGAAAAAGACTCCATGCCATATTTAAGGAGATTTGTGCCTAAAATGGAAATTACTATGCTTTCCTTTTCTTTTTGATAATTCAGGTTGTGCTCCACTAGCTTATACTTACGTTTTCAATGTGCCAGATGTCATAAGTTCTGTAACCAGAACAATACATTTCTTTCCCTTGACTGTAGATTCCCAGGAATCATAGAATCTAACAATATTAGGATGCTGAAGCCCTTTCAGCATTTCAGCTTCCTCCTTAAACCGTTGTCTTTCTGATTTGGACAGCTTCCGATCCTAAAAGAGATAATTAGCAGAAATGTATTATAAAGAGCTACAAATGAATATTAAAGAAATAGCTAGCTTCAAATGTAAAATATTTAAGGATCAAGATTACATGTTACAAGACATGAAAAGGTATTTTGACTAACAGTCTCTCAATTCTTTGTGTAAACTATTGATTACTTTCATCTGCAATTTCCTGCACAAACTGCCAACAGTAGTTGGTTTGGCTATTTCAAGAATTATGTAAGAGGAACATGAAAAAATGGTAGGAGATGAATAAATGTTGAAACATTTATTTCTTTTGCTCCTAAAAAGCAAAGTGCTCCAGACATTCTTTATATGTAGAACTTTAAAAATTTCTGTATTAAAAAAACCACTTTGGTAATTTCTTTCTAATTTTATTACAGCCTCTTATCAGACAATCCAAAGCACACAATTTAGTGCTCCTGAATAAAAAAGGATACATTTTAAATAAATATATGAAGAATACTGTTCTGTATTCTTATATTAATTAATGCCCACATTCTCACTCTATTAGCAGTATTTGTCCCTTTAAGACATAATTAAAAATAAGCTAATAAATGTAAATATGGAAAAACACTGAAAACAATACAAAACAATACAGAGGCACCTCCAGGCAAACAGGGCAGCATATAAATTTAATAAATAAATTACGTAAAACAAATACCAAATCCCCATGTGCCTATAATCTAAGGGTATAGTAATCAGCCTTTATTGAAATGTCTTTTTAAAAAAGATCTATGAACTTTAAGAATATGATCCTATTGTTGTGTACTAATAGTAAATCCTTTTAATTTCACTAAGGTTTATTCTCAAATAAGATTGTACAGGTTAATTGAAATGTGTAAAAACAAAGTTAGTTGAAAATATTAAGTTAATAATTAAGATAACTTATTTAACTGATTAGGTCAACCACTGGATAATATACAATATATGCATACAGGGTACCAACTTGGAAGAGTGAGAAGAATGGAAAAGGAAATCCCAAGTTATGTTTTATGCAACGATTTTTCTACTGGAAATTATTACAATATATAGCCTACATAAACATGCAACTTCTTAGTATGCAAACATATGCATTTTTCCTACTTCAAAGTAGTCTCTCTGTAAAAAGAATCATATGGGAAACAGTCCTACAATCTGTACAAAATGACATAGTGGAAACACAACACCTATGTCATCAGTACATGAGAATGAAGTTAAAGTAGATGGTAAACCTTTCAAAATTTGAGCAATCAACTTTTCCAATATCATTTCTAAGATCAATTACTCAGTTCAGCTTCCTTTTGCTTCTCCGGTATATGTAAAGCATGAATAAGAAAGTGTTGGCCCTCCCACTTCCTGAGAAAAAGATCACTCATATGCAAATATATGTGTTTCTAAAAGATCTTGATGAAAGGCAGAATTTTAGAATATCAAAAATGCACTTAGTATGATATCTATAAAGTAAACCATGGCTCACAAAGCACAGTGGATGGATTTGTTCAACATAAAAAACTTGAAAAGAAGCAGACCATATTATGGCTTAAAGTGTATGAACCAAGCCACAAAAAGTGATCTGTGCATTTATAAATGGAATTTATGCTTTCCTCCTAAGTACTATTATAGAAACCTGGATCCGGATTCTGTTGTTTCATAAAATTAATCTAATATTTATCAGGGCATCAGCAAAGATTACATTCAAGGAGCTAAACTAAAGTTTGTTTACATAAGAAAGAGAAAGTAACACAGATTAAATGTACAAATTTTAAGAAAAGCTATACCTCAGTAGTCGTGCTATACTGGTAGTTATTGACCTAAAGAGATAAAGCTACATGCATAGCATACAATGGTGAAATCCAAATTTTTTTTACTACTGGTTCTGTGGCGTGACTTAGTGGGCGTAGGAGGGGAAGGATACTGCAAAATCCCCATTCCCTCCCCACTCCTGGGGGAAGGATATTGCAAAATCTCCATTCTACTCTGCTCTACTCTGGGGCCAGCCAGAGGTGGTATTTGGCAATTCTCCGAACTACTCAAAATTTCTGCTACCGGTTCTCCAGAACCTGTCAGAACCTGCTGGATTTCACCCAATAGCATAGCATAGCATAGCCGTTATGTTATTAGTCAATGTGATTGGACACACAAGGAATTTGTCTCACTTCCACTCAGATTTTGATAACGAGTAGCACAGATCTTTCTATCCATTTAAAACAAACTCTATCACTCTACACGCATTTAACTGGAGTGGGTGGGGTGGGGTGGGGGATGATTTTCATGGGGGCAGAAGAAGGACTTGGCACCGAAGGTTCCACTCCCAAGACGCCCCCGTCTTCCTATCTATAACCGTAGGCGTTGAAAGCCTGGCTTTCTTGCAGCAAGGCTCCATAGAGATGTAGCACTTCAGTCCTCCTGGATGCTGCCATCTCGTAAAAACTGGGCTTCCCGGCAAACCCCCTGTGCCTTTGCTGCCTCGGTCGGAGCCTGATTCCGGAAGTGGCCCGGGGAAGTGCAGAGGTTGGGACTCGGTTGGCGAAGCGGGCGCTGCACAGGGGGAGTAAGGCAAGGCGCTGCCACCCAAAACCACTGTTCCCACGATCTCCACTGCCTGGAGGTGAACTGCATTGTGCTTTTCTGATTTGTTGATAAATGATCCTGGGAGAAAGCAGCAGCCGGCCACTGCAGAGGCGGCGCTGATCCGTTTCGGGTAGTCAAAAAGCCAAGCGGCTGTGGGGAGCTGAGACATTTCTCCTTCATGCCATCCCCCAGCTGCTCAGTACAGTTCAGTTAAAGAGAGGGGGGGAACCAACTTCGACTGTGGATGGAGCCCCTCTAGGAACAAAGACCGTTTGGGAGGTGAAGGTGGCTGAGGAGGGAGGAGTGCAGGCACAAGGGAAGGCGCAAGGACGGGGGGGACTGCAGGAGAAGCAGCCCTTCTCCCCTTCTTCCAGTAACAGGAGTGTGTGTCGTCTCAACGTGCCCAGAGTTTTCTTCTTCCCCTTTAGCCACCGAGAGCTCCGAGTCCTCCCAGGGCCTGCCTGGAAGCGGCTCCAGCAGTTCTGATGGCTGCTGCTTTCTCCCATGTGCATCAGGGAGGAAAGCATTTTCAGGCAGCATTGCTGCGATCCCTTCCCCAAATCCAAAACAGGGCGTGCGGCTGGCACTGCCACCTGAAAATTCTTTCCTTCCCAAACGCGATGCCCTTTTTTGGCCTCCGCATACACCGTTTTTGGAATCGGGAAGGGGGTCTGCCGCCCAAAAACGCTTTCCTCCCCAATTCCAAAAATGGGGTATGCGGAGGCCAAAAAAGGGCATCGCGTTTCAGGCGGCGGATCTGGCCAGGTGGAAAGAGAAGGTGAGTCTGCTGAGGAGGCGGGTGCACGGCTTTAGGGGCTCCCGCTTGGCTAGGCTCCCGGGCACGGAGAGGGCTTAGGCAGTGGTGGCTCGTCACATTGCTGGGAAGTGAAGTCATCGTGGCCACTGTCTACCCTGAGCTGCCCACTGGGCGGCCAGAGGGGGGACCAGAGTTATACCATAGGATGTGCGGATCTGGGAATGGAGGGGCTTAATACCTGTATGGAAAGAGGTTGCTCCATCAAGGTCATGGTTGGGAGGGGCAGATATGGTGGGAGCAGGGGGCCACATCATGCTAGGGGAGCACGCAACCACTGTCTTCAAGCGGTGTCATGCTCCGACCCCCAAAGCTCTTCTCGTTCCCTGGGTTGCTCAGAGTCTCAGGGCCCGAGCCTTAGGCTGATGTTATGCAACGTCAGGTCCGCGGCTAACGAAGCCCCCCTAATTTGTGAACTAATTCAAGAGCGGAGAGTGGACCTGGCGGGCATTACAGAGACCTGGTTGGGCCATGAAGGGGGAGTCCCCCTGGTAGAGATGTACCCACCAGGTTTCCGTGCATTCCATCAGCCAAGGGCTCAGGGTAGGGGTGGAGGAGTGGTGGTTATTATAAAGGAGAGTCTTGATCCTAGGGAAGCCATTGTTCCTCAGACAGCCGGATGTGAGTCCCTCCACGTGAAGTGGGGCCATGGGTTACAGATGGGCCTGCTGATTACCTACCTGGCTCCCTGCCACGTAGCAGCAGCCCTGCCCGATCTCCTCAATGTAATAGCCGGGGTGGCGGTTGAGACTCCTAGGCTTCTTATCATGGGAGATTTCAATCTGCCGTCCATCGGTGAAACATCTGAGGTAGCTCGGGAGTTCATGGCTTCCATGACGGCCATGGACCTGACCCAGTTAGTTCATGGCCCTACTCACACGGGGGGACACACTCTGGACTTGATTTTTGTATCTGACCAGTGGTTGAATGGCCTAGATATAGGGGATATAGTCATCGAACCCTTGTCATGGTCAGACCATTCTCTCCTTAGGCTTGACTTTCTGTCCGCTACACCCCACCGCAGGGAGGCGGAACCGATTAAATGGTTCCGCCCCAGGCTCCTGATGGATCCTGACGATTCCAGATGGAGCTTGGGCCATTTCCTGAGATTCTAGCTCACAACTCGATTGAAGACCTGGCGGCAACCTGGGATAGGATGGCCGCTGGTGCCTTGGATCGGGTTGTGCCTTTGCGGCCTCTGACCTGGCGTCGAAATTGCCCGGCTCCGTGGTTTTCCGAGGAGTTGAGGGAAATGAAATGCCGGAAAAGACGCTTAGAGAGTAGTTGGAGAACCAGTCATTCCGAATCTGACCGAACTCTAGTGAGGTCATATATTAAGACCTACTTAGTGGTGATAGCAGCGGCAAAATATAACTATTTTTCCACTATTATTGCATCGGCAGATAATCGCCCAGCCACCTTGTTTAGGGTGACCCGCTCCCTCCTCAATCTGGGAGCACGGGAAGACCCCTTGCAAGGTCGAGCTGAGGATTTTGCACAATATCTACACGATAAAATCGCTCAAATTCGGAAAGACTTGGACTCTGACTGGGTAAGTTCAGACGAAGTGATGGAGGCGAGTCTTGAGGATGTTATTTGGGATGAGTTTGACCCTGTGGCC